GTTTGCCTTTTTTCCCAATATTTCATTGAAGGTGCTCCAAAGCATTTATCTTTGTTTCATAGTGTAGTTTCTTATTCTTTTTATTCAATTTAGTCACATGATTTCTCAATTTGCAGTATGTTTGCCAATCGGTTGTGAAGCCATACTTATTTGCCATTCCTTTTGCCTCATCCCTCTCAACCATACAATTTTTCAATTCCTCATCAATCCACGGGGATTTAACACATTTTACAGTCATTTTCTTAATGGGTGCATGCTTATTAGTAACTGAAATAAGCAATTTCATAAATGTGTCAAGTGCAACGTATGTTTGCTCCTCATTACACACCACGGACCAACAAATATTATTTACATCAAAAACATAGGAGTCACTACAAAACGTATCGTATGACCTCTAATACAGTATATTAGGCCCAGCCTTTGGAACTTTGGTTTTCCTAGATATGGCTACTATATTGTGATCACTACATCCGATGGATCTGGATACTGCTTTCAAGCATATTTCTGCAGCATTAGTAAAGATGTGATCAATACATGTTGATGATTTCATTCATGTGCTGTTTGTAACTACCCTGGCAGGTTGACTGATAACCTGAACCAGGTTGCAGGCACTGGTTACAGTTTGAAGCTTTTTCTTGAGTGGGCAGCTTGATGAAAGCCAGTCAATATTTAAATCACCCAAAAAATATACCTCTCTGTTGATTTCATATACATTATCAAGCATTTCACACATGTTATCCAGTTACTGACTGTTAGCACTTGGTGGTCTATAGCAGCTTCCCACAAGAATTAGCTTTAGGTGAGGCAGATGTGGTCCTCTGTAGCTCAATTGGTAGAGCATGGCGCTTGTAACGCCAGGATAGTGGGTTCGATCCCCTGGACCAACCATAAGTAAAAAAATAAATAAAAATATGCACACATGACTGTAAGTCGCTTTGGATAAAAGCGTCTGCTAAATGACATATTATATTATAACCTGTAGCCATATTACTTCAACAGTTTTTTTCAATTGTTTAAGCACAATTTTGAAAACAGGGCCTGGAACACTTTTGTCAAAACTATACACGACTTCATAAAAACAATATTTTTTTACCATAAGAAACACACACATTTCATATGACTTCAATCTTTTTGAACCAGTTACACACTGCTGTTGCTAACCTAAAACACTTTTAGCAAATCTAATTCTCAGTGATTAGAGTACTGTAAATGAAGTCAGATGACATTGTCCCAGATGACAGTGTATTGCATCTGGTGTATTTCATTACCTGCTGTGACGATGTGGTGCAATCGGTCCAAAAATGTGAGAATGTGAGGTGTGTTGTAAGGGCCCATTTTGGCATGACGGAGGAGAACCCCATGCTGTGAAATGGCAGTGCAAAGGGTGATGTTACCCCCACGTTGCCCTGGGAAATTGATTATAGCCCTGTGGCCAATGATATTTCTGCCACTCCTTCTTGCTTTTGTGAGGTTGAACCCTGCCTCATCAATATATATGAATTCATGCAGGATTTCCTCAGCATCCATCTGCAAAACTCTCTGAAATACAGTGAAAGACAAGATTGTGTAGTTCAGGATAGGTCTAGTATACAGTCAATGTAAAAAAGTCATGTGTGCAGTATGCAACATCACAGTGCTAAAGTGAACAATACAAACCTCCACATACTCATGCCACAGCCGTTTGACCCTCTCTGAATTCCGCTCAAAAGGCACTCGATAAAGTTGTTTCATTTGAACCTGATATCTTTTCAGGATGCATGCCAGTGTTGACTGAGAGACCTGATGGACATTATTGAAAATGGCATGGTCACCGATAATGTTGGCTTGTAGTTCTCTGAGCCTGATAGCATTATTGGCCAAAATCATGTTTATTATCTCTCTTTCTTGTTCTTGCGTGAATATGGGCCCCCTTCCTCCTTGTCGTTCCCGACCCTCAATCCTATGTAGAGAATAATACATGTAACTTACTGTACAATGTCACAGGAAGGGGTATCACAAGTGCTGATATGGTGCATACAATAAGCGGCTGATTACTGTAACTGTAGACATATCTTCTTTTACCTGTTTTCCTGTCGAAAAGTCCTTATGACAGATGCCACTGTATATCTGCTAAGATTTGGCTGAACTCTCAGTCCAGCCTCCCTCAGCGTCAATCCGTGGTTCACAACATGGTCCACTAGTGTTGCACGAATGTAATTTGATAAGTTTGGTCCTCTTCTTCTTTGTGCACGTTCTCCTCCTGCTTCAGGTCTTCCTCGACCTCTGGCTCGGCCTCTGCCTCTGCCTCTTCCTCTACCTCCTTCTCCTCCTCTGTGTACTCCCCCTCTCACCCTCACTCTTCTTCTGACTCCTTCCATTTTGGTTGAAGGCAGGTGAACCTACCTGCTGCATTTTTATAGTGCTTAAACCTGATTGGTGTGTCTACAATTTAGCAATAATGTGTTTGTGCACCTGATGGCTGTGTTTAACAGATTGGCTCATAGGTGTGGTAATTTGACAATCAGTGCTTTGGAATTGCAAGGAAGTGACATCATGATATACTTCTGTGTCTGATGTATACAAGTGTGTTTAGTGTTTTGCAAATCACTGTGTGTAATGTTTTGCAAATAGTGTGAAGCTGACAATGTGCTTACAGTTGTGCAAATCTAGCCTTGTGTTTTGCTCCTTGAGTGTAAGGTTTTGCTAATTGTGGGAAAAGTTTAATTTTAGTGTGTAAGCAATCGTAAAAAACTGTAACATGAAACCTCTCTAATCTTTACAGGAATGTGGTTCTGAATATAAACAGCAACACCTCCACCACTGGCATATCTGTCTTTTCTGTAAATGTTATAACCTTGTATTGCTACCACTGTATCATCAAAGGTATTGTCTAAGTGAGTTTCAGAGATAGTCAGAATAGGCACACCGCCTCAGTGCTAACACCATAAATCTGGTTCATAGGCACATGATTGCTGTATACAATAGCTGTAGGGTCAGCAGAGGCATTCAGGGCAGTTAGAGGGACATAAATTAGGTTACTTACATTGTGTCTACCATTGCCCCTGGTATAATGTACATTTGCAAAAGCATTATGATGACTCAGCAACACAATGGTAGAACTGAGCTGGGCTTGGGTCATTGATACATCATTGTCTCATTGCAGCCTTATAATGCTGTGAAAGGATACAGGAACCCAAATGATTTGGGTGGATCCCATCCTCCTTATACAACATGTTTTGTTTCCAAAAGGTATTGAAATTGTCAACAAAAGTTACACACATTGAGCTGCAATAATCACGTAGCCAGTTATGAAGAGAAAGAATACTGCTAAAGTGTTCAATGCCACAATTCAGAGAGGGCACAGGGCCAGATATGATGATGTCTAGCAGAGAGTCAATCAGCTCTTTGAAATCCAGTTTCAACTGTTCAGAGCTGCCCTTCATAATGTCATTAAAACTCACATGGACTACGATAGAATCGATGTCCATGTCCTGGCGTAGTACATTCGGGAGCAGCTTAGTAATGTCATTTACTCGAGCTCTGGGATAGGACATTGTTTTTGCACCAGGAACAGTGCAGGCCTCCGACAGATGGAAAAGCACCGCTCGATCCAGAGCAGGGACGGAAGGTTGCCGACGTCGACTTTGAAATCGTAGGAGAAGGAGAAGGAGTAGGAGTAGGCATAGCGGCTGCAGACACAGGTACCCCCAGCGACAAAGGTGCAGGAAGATCAGGCTCCAAGGCGGCAAAACTATTTGTTGTTTGTATCAGCTCCGGGCCTCTCGTTGGGAGTGTAGATTGCTTTGCGGGAGGCCGCTGTCTTCGGCTTCCACGGCTCGTGACATGTGACCGTCATTGATTACCATGTCCTCTTGCTGTGCTCCTTCGACTCCACTATCATATGGGGGAGGAGAGGCAGGAGATGGCTCCCCTGGCGAACGAACTCCGGGCAACACCGGCCAGTCAGATAACGACAAACGACAAGATGGAGATGCATCCAACATGCGCAAACGCCGTCCAGCCACCGGCATAGAAAAGGTAAACATTCCGCTCTCTGCGTTTTCCCCAGTTTCTTACGTAGGCTGGCTACCTGCGTGATCAGGGAAGCCACCTCAAGCCTATAATCCTCAGCAAGCAAACAATTGGAAGTCTGAGTGATCCAGTTTGTCCCGAAACAAAGCGTAGTATATACAGCTCCAACAGCGCTGGAACCGTTCATTTATGGGTAAATGTCCATTCACACACACACACACACACACACAAGACACACGCACACACACACACACACACACTCCCGAGTGGCGCAGCGGTCTAAGGCACTGCATCTCAGTGCTTGAGGTGTCACTACAGACACCCTGAATTGATTCCAGGCTGTGTCACAACCGGCCGTGATTGGGAGTCACATAGGGCGGTGTAGGCCATCATTGTAAATAAGAATGTGTTCTTAACTGACTTGCCTAGTTAAATAAAGGTTAGATAAAAATATAAAAAATATAAAAAATACCTGCATGCGTGTGTGTGTCAATCAGAGTGTGTACTTTAAGTGCTTGGTTTGTGAGGATCCAGCTGCTGTCTTTAAAGTTATGTGACAGACCATGTGTTAACGCATTCAGACGGAGCATCCTGCTTCACTGTGGGGACCTCTCACTTACTGTAGCAGGGTGACTTCTGGGAACTGACTGGCAGGTGGGGAAATGATGTGTTTTCGTGGAAGACGCACTTTGTAGTACCAAGCTGTTGAATGGCTTCGGTGGGTTTTTCTCTGACCAACAAGGCGGTCTCGTTCCCTCAGGGAGGGGCTCTGATTGGTCACCTCTAACACCTTCTCTCTTTCTCACTCTCCTTTCTCCTTCATTCTCTCTCTCTCTCTCTCCTCTCTCTCTCTCTCTCTCTCTCTCTATCTCGTCTCTCTCTCTCTCTCTCTCTCTCTCTCTCTCTCTCTCTCTCTCTCATCTCTCTCTCTCTCTCTCTCTCTCTCTCTCTCTCTCCTTTGTGCCCCCTCTCTCTCTCTCTCTGCAGGGCTGAAGCAGATTCATGCCTTGTCCATCCAGGGTAACTATGAGTTGAGGATTGACCTGGAGGACTTTGACAACAGTACAGCCTACGCCCAGTACGAGACCTTTGGAGTGGGCCTGTTCTCTGTGGACCCAGATGACGATGGATACCCACTGACGGTGGGAGATTACTCCGGAAACGCAGGTACATGTTTATATCTGACTGACCAGTTCCCTTTGGGGATCAATAAAGTATAACTCTAATCTTCAATGAAAATTGAACATTGACGTTTGATTCTAATGATAGATTAGGTCGTTGTAGACCTAGACATCGATCAAAGACTAAAGCACCCCAAACACAAACATATAAGCTTCAGATTTACGCCTCAAATACTACAAGTGTAACTCAGCAATGCATTGATTCTATCTATATTCATATCTGCTGTGTCATCTGCAGTAGTCTTGTTAATATTGTTAAGTGCTGAGGGAAGGAGGGAGGGAGGGAGGGACAGAGGGAAGTGTTTGGTTTTGGTCCCCACTGTGTTGTGTTAGTGTCCAATGATTAAACAATATAGACAGACAGACTGAGGGGGACAAACAGTGTCTGTCTATTCCCCAAACGCCACATCTCAGCCAGTGCTCCGTCAACGTGAATAAATTACTAGTCAATGAATTACTGTGGTTGACCTGCAGCGTAAACAAAACACTGTCTCACACCCGTCGCTACAAAGAAGCAATTTGAAGAATCTTTGGGTCACTTAGCACAGCACACAGACAGAGAAGGGGGACAGATGAGAGAGGAGGGATGGGGAGAGGATGTAGAAAGGAGAAGAGAGAGAGAGAGAGAGAGAGAGAGAGAGAGAGAGAGAGAGAGAGAGAAGAGAGAGAGAGAGAGAGAGAGAGAGAGAGAGAGAGAGAGAGAGAGAGAGAGAGAGAGAGAGAGAGAGCTTATAGCTTCTCTTCCTACTGCAATGCAACTGACCTTCAACTGACAACGTGCCTGTTGGACATTTGAATCCCACTGCAGCATGTGTAGCCTCCCCCCTGTATCCTCGTACCCTCTTAGTACCACTATTATTGTTGTTATCATCCGCAATGACTGTTTTAGACACCTACCACTCTTCTGCCCCTCTCACACACACACATACACACAAATACACACACACACACATGCACATACACACACACACACAATTTCCTCTGATCTGGGATGTGTAGACAGGTGGTTATTGTGGCTGGAAGCAGCTGGATCTTAATGGTGTTCAGTGGAGCCGCCCATCCCGTCCCCTTCCCTTTACCCAGACAAGGTGACACTGAGCGGGCTGCAAATGAGACGCTAAGTGCCCCTAGCCTGGTTCCTCTCTCTCTCCCCTTATTTAGTTTCATCCGGTAACCATCATCATGCTGTCACAATGGGTTGAGGTTGTATGTTTTGATCTTTTTTCTCTGTTTTGTCATTGCTCCTGTCGGAACTAGTTGCACCATGGGTTACCGTGGAAACTGCAAATTGAGAGAGGGGTGGGGTGGCAGAGGGAGTTTGGTTGGAGGGGAGAAGGGAGTAGCAGTGGACACACCCAGCCAGGGATTTAACGGCTTAAGATGCCCAGACGAGCTGCTAGTGAATACCTCACCGCAGGAGAGGAGGGTTTTCCTCCTCTCCTCCATCAGGTGTTTTTCTATCCCCCTCTGGTCACAGACACAGCATGAAGCATTATAGAAAGCGGGAGATAGGGAGCGAGGGAAAGAGTGAAAAACACTCATACACAGCCCGTGTAGCTCAGTTGGTAGAGCATGGCGCTTGCAACGCCAGGGTTGTGGGTTCGTTTCCCACGGGGGGCCAGTATGAAAATGTATGCACTCACTAACTAACTGTAAGTCGCTCTGGATAAGAGCATCTGCTAAATGACTAAAATGTAAAAAAATTGATATATAAATCCACATCCAGGCACTCATATCCTTTTGTTCATCAAGAGCCTGAAGAGTTGCCATGAAACACCAATAACAAATACATTATTCTCTGAAATCGTTTATTGTGTGGTACAGAATGACATCACTCAACATCCCCATGTGCAGTGCCACTGCCAGTAAGCCAACCACCCTAGTGTGACATTCAGCTCAAAGCTGTAGCCTATACAGATGTAGGATCTTAATTTGATCACTCTTTTGTTGCTGGGAATTTTCCTTCAGAACAGGAAATGCAAACTTGTGGTGTATTTGAGTTTTAAAAAGGCTTCTAATGTTTGTAATTTCCACTTTGAAATTTCAGACTTGATTGGACAAAATGTCCAATAATTATAATCCACATAATGATTCACATTTCCTGTTGCTACAGGATTCTTTTCTGCTTTAGCAAACTGACTCAAATTAAGATCCTACATCTGTAGCTAACAGTGTCCTGTACCTCTCTGTAGTTATATTTCTGCTGTAGCATCAAAGCTCCTCATTGTATATGTGTGTGTGTGTGTGTGTGTGTGCACTTGCACACACATATGTGTGTGTGTGTGTGCTGTGACAGTTGTGTAGTGATCGGATCGTTAGGGAGGTGATATTAGCAGAATGATAAAAAGGTCAGCCTAGAGCCCTTTGATAAATAAACAACATAGCGTTGTAACCCTGTGATTTATGTAATGAGGACTGATCTTCTAGAAAGGAGAGGAGGCATCGCTCTCTGATCTCACGTCATTTATGGAAATTATTGATTGTAAAATCCTGAGTCATTTAGGTAAATGAATGGGAAAGCTGTGCTGCTCTCTGATGTAAGAGATCTCTGGTCAAATACATTAGTTGAGCTAGGAAGGACCAATCAAAGCACTGAGAATTTTTTTTTTATTTGATCATCCTCTCTCAATTATCTTCTTCTCCTTTCTTGTCTTCCCATCCATCCTCTATTTCTCCTCTGTTCATCCTTGTCCTTTTCATTTGACTGTGTGTGTGCTTACGTGTGCGTACGCGTGTATGTAAATATGGTTGTGTCTTTGTTTGTACATGAATGTACCATAAATGTGTCCTTCACCCATCCAATCCGCCCCCCACCTTCCACCACCAACCCGCTCCTCTCCCACCATACAGGCGATGCTCTGCTCAAGCACAACGGGATGAAGTTCACCACCAAAGACAAGGACAACGACCACTCTGAGAACAACTGTGCCTCCTTCTACCACGGCGCCTGGTGGTACCGCAACTGCCACACGTCCAACCTGAACGGACAGTACCTCCGCGGGCAGCACACCTCCTATGCTGACGGCATAGAGTGGTCCACCTGGACCGGCTGGCAGTACTCCCTCAAGTTCTCTGAGATGAAGATACGACCCGCGCGCGACGAGAGCAAATGAGTATATGAGGCAATAACAGAGGAAAGGAATTGAAAGTGTTCAGAGTAATAAAACCACACCCTCAGATACTGTTTACTGTCTGACTAAAAGGATGGACATCTTTGATTCGTTTACTACTATTCTCTACTGTTTCCTGTGGAGCCCTTGTCCCTCTCCACCGCCCCCCAGCCCCGCCCAACTTCATGTGCCCCATCCCTACCCTTAGTCCCCTATCACATACTAGTGTGTGCTGAGGCTTTTTGTGCCCCCCCCCCCCCCCCCCCCCCCCCCCCCCACACACACACACACACACACTTCCTTCACAACAACCTCATGACCTCACCGCAACAGGAAATGAGTCTGATTCACTCTGTTCCTCACTCTTTCTGTTAGTGCTTCATTTATATCTAGTCATTAGTCAATTATCTGTCTATTCCTTCTGAGCCTTGACCTTGTCCTTGACCTCTCTCCTGTGTTTGTTGTTGTGCCCTGTAACCAGTAGTCCTATTCCCACAGTCCTTTGCTGCGTTGTTGCCAGTCAGCGAAGCGTGGCGTTACCGTGTGACCTTAGAACAAGTGACTGATTCATGATATGTCAGAAAAGGAGATGTGACATTACAGCCGGAACAAACACACACAGACACACATACACACACAAACTTACACACACACACACACACACACACACACACACACACAGACACACACACACACACACAGACACACAGACACATACACACAAATTTACACACACACACACACACATACACACACACCCCTTGCCCCCTGAAGCTACAATATGACCACAGCTCAACTCAGTCTGTCACCTAAAGTGACCTGGCTGCATTGGCCTCCCAGTCAGGAGACATGCAAGAATGGCCCAACCCACGGTACTGCTTACATGTCACTTTATTGCAGATAGACTCGGTAGGAGACACAACACAATGGAACAGCTACACCGGTGTAGAGAGGGAACAGTTGAAGAGAGAGACAGAGAGACAGATACAGAGACAGAGAAGAAAGACAGAGAGCGAAGAAAGAGAGAGAGAGGACAGATCAAACAGAGGGGTCGAAGGGAATGACTAAATGAAAAGGGGACTAAGAAAATGGGAATATACAGAGAAAAAAAGATGGAGGAGATGAAATGGAGGAGTGAGGAAGGAGGATAAATGAAGGAGATTAAATGGAGCGGTGAGGAAGGGGGATAGATGGAGGAGAGGAAATGGAGGGGTGAGGAAGGGGGATAGATGGGGGAGAGGAAATGGAGGGGTGAGGAAGGGGGATAGATAGGGGAGAGGAAATGGAGGGGTGAGGAAGGGGGATAGATGGGGGAGAGGAAATGGAGGGGTGAGGAAGAAGGGATGAGTAAACAAGAGGAAACAGATGTCATTCATCTGACTGAGGCCATTAGGGAGCATATTGGACACAGAGTCTGATCACCAACCAAGTTACTGCTACTACAAAGCCCCAGATGGGAACGCTACAGTGTGTTTTAGTGTCTGCGTGCGTGCATGTGTGCTTGTCCTCAAATCACTCTCCCAATCGCCTTAAGAGTCCATTTCAGTGATCCATTTGAGCTCCTAGTCAGTCAGACAGACAGCATGTGTAAAGATGATATGATGAGGACTATCAAGTTCCCATTGGTAGTGGGTGAATGTAGGAGGCAGCAGGATGGAAAAGAGGAAAATAGAGGGAAGAGAGTGGGGTGAAGTGTTGGCCTACCATAGAAAGAAAGAGAGGAAGAAACATTCTGTGACTGCTACCTTCCAGAGCCAGGAGTGTCATGACAGAGAGGGTAGTCTGTTATTCATCTGTTCCTTTAGGAAGTAGAGCATGTTTTAACCTTTGCCCCCACGACCACAAGGTTAAATAGTCCCCTACTCCCCTGAGCATTTGAATTCTACGCCTGTGTTTTCTCAATCAGCTGCATCACACATGGAAACACACACACACACACACACACACACACACACACACATACATACACAAACACACTGACACACACACACACTGACACACAAATGCAGGCACACACACAGAAACACACAAACACACTGACAGACACACTGACACACACACACACTTACACACACACTGAAACAAACACACACTCTCTGATACAGTCCTTTAACACAGCCACACACACATTCTGTTTCCATCTCATCCTTTATGTTCTATTTCATCCATATCTCTTTTTTTATCCACCTCCCCTCTTTTCATCTCCTCTCCCTCCCCCTCCTCTCCCCTCCCCATCCTCTCCCCTCTCTCCTTTCTCTCTCTCCCTCCTCCTCCTCTCCTCCTCCTCCTCTCCCCTCTCTCTCACTCCCCTCCTCCTCCTCTCCTCTCCCCTCTCCTCCCTCCCCTCTCTCCTGTTCCCTCCTCTCTCTCCTAGCGGCTGCCTAATCTTTTCCTCACCCCACTCCTCCTCCCCCTCTCTCCCCGGAAGGAAAAAGGGGGGGTTTTTTTTTCCCCCAAAAAGGAAAAAACAAAAAAAATAAAAAAAAAAAAAAGCCCCCCCCTCCCCGGGGGGAAAAAAAAATGTTTTTGAAAACATTCCCCTTTTAAAAAAACATTTTAACCTTTTCCCCCCACGGGAAACCCCAGTTTTTTTCCCCCCCTGAAAACCCCCCTTTTTTCCCCTTTCCCCCCGGGGGGCCCCCCCCCCCCCCCCTCGCCACTCCACCCCCTCCCCCCCCCCACCAACGCCCCTTTACGGCCCCCACCCCCCCCCGGGGGGGGGGCCCCGGGGTGACACCCCCCTTTTTTTTCCCCCCCCCTTTTCCCCTTTTTTTTTCCTTTTCACCTTTTTTTTTCATTTCCCCTCCCTTTTCTCCCGGGGGGTCTTTTTTTTTCCGGGGCGTCCCAAACTCCCCCTTTCTTCCTCCCTCCCCTCCCCCTCTCCTCATCTCCCCTCTCTCCTCCTCTCCCCCTCTCCCCATTTCCCCGTCTCCTGTAATGTATTCTGTTCTGTAATCTACCCATGTCTAGCTGGATGTCTAGGTTTTCTGCTAGGGTGACGCAGGCTCTTTTCTGCTGGCTCTAGCAGAGGAACTGTTGCTGTAAAATACAGTTTGCCGCTATCGACCGATCCCGCACCCATGATTTTCTTTCTGAATAGGAGTTCAAAAATGTGTCGGGAATGACAATAATAAAAATTAAAAAATGTTTGTCTGTACAGTATTATAAAAAAGAAAAAAAGCACAATAGCAGAAGTTTTGCTAACAATGAAATTGTGCTATTCTGAATATTTTTTTCAATTGTTGTTTTCATTCTGGATTTTCTTCAGATGTACTGAAAGCTTTAAAGATATGTGTAGATTTATTGTACAGTGTGTATGACCTTTAGAGCATGTCCAACTGTTTTCATACTATGCCAAAAGACAAAAGAGAACTCAAGCACACAGACTTTACAAATTACAAGTCAAAAGAAGAAAAAATACAAAACCAGAGCCCGTATTTCTCCTCTTTTACCGGACTGGGCACAAGAGAAGGCATGGCCAGCTATAGTTTTGGGGGAGGAGCAAGTGAGAAAGAGGAGGGGCTTAGTAAGCACATGAGGGCATGCCCACTATGGAAAACAGCACAAATTAATCTATACTGAAGCGATGTCAATGGCAAATCTGGGGGACATTGTGGCTCTGATTGCCCTGTTGGACATTGTGGGGACATCTTTGATCTAGTCAGATATGTTGGCTCTACTGGGCATACTGGCTCTATGGGACACACCAGCTCTGGAGGACATTTTGATCTGCCCTTGCTGCCAGTGTGCCCAAAGGCATTGTGATGAGCATTGCTCCTCAGACACTGGATGGGGTATGTGTTTTATCCTGGTTCTTTTTCCAGTACAGGACAGGACAGAGGAGTGTGTGGACTGGACTGCAGCACCCACAGAGCCCCAGCTCCATGCAGCCAACTATCCACATAAACCTGCTCAGTCTCAGTCAGCCATAGAGGCAGAGTCTCAATTGACCAGGAGTCCTGTGGTGGTAACACAGAGCAGAGTCAGAGTCCATCCACTTCTACAGTCAGCTAGTCTGCCTCTGCTACCACTACTCAGCTCTGAAGCCAAACATCAAAGAACCAACCCTCTAATCACAGTATCAATGCGTTATTAACAATAATCACATTACCATGGAAACAGAATTATATGGGATAGTTTGATGACAAAAATTTGTGTTGGGGTAAAATAGTAGTCATGATTTCAAAGGGTATTTTGCAAGTTAAAATGGATAAACGTGTAAAGTTTAATGAGATGCTGGAATGAGTCAGACTGATGTCTTGATGTGACTGACTGACCTGGAGGACATTAATTTCTCTTTCTGTGTGTCTGTGTGTGAGAGTGTGTTGGTTTGTGTATGTGTGTGTGTTGTGTGTGTCTGTGTGTGAGAGAGAAAGGAAGGGGTAGGAATCATCAAAGTAAATGTGATACTTATGTACAACTTGCCTCCCTGCTATTTGTGTTGATAACAGAGATATAAATATATGAAACATTCATTCATGTGATAACTGATTCCATAGTGGCTCACCCCCTTCTGGTCATGTGTTGAACTGCGCTCCTCATTCTAGCCCCAACACCCCTTCTAATGTAAAACCTTCAGCGTCAAATAGTGCACGTTATATGTATTATCAACGTACTGTACACCCCACACCAACCCCCACTCTCTGAGAAGTTTAGAAACCCCACAGTCTTTGTTCCAAAGCCCCCACCCGACCTTTACTTCTCTCACTTCCAGTCTGCTGTTACAAGCACCATCCACCCTCCCTCCTCCCCGTTTAAATTCTAGCAACATCTTGGCTCCAGCAGTCGATGTGATAGAGGAGTATAAACAGAAGAGTTATCCCTCTCTCCCGCTCATTCCCTCTCTCCCTCTTATTATCATCAGCAGAGTACTGATCGATCCGTCCGTTCTCGCACCCTCCATCTAAGTCCTCCATTTATCCATTCTTCCAACACCTCCATATCTCCTTTCCCACATCCTCCTCTATTCCCCCTGCATTTCACACACTCTCCATTCCCCC